TAGATGCACTTATCTGGAAAAGAAGACACGTCCATGGATAAATCAGCATATTAGAAACATACAATTGTAGATCATTGACTTGGAATAAAACTAGTATCTATGATTAAGTTTTGTTTTAAGTATGAGTGTGGCTGTTCTGCACCCACGAACATTGCACCCCTGCTATACCCACGGTCAAAAACCTAGCAAAACAAATCAAAAAATCTAAAACTTTTCAGATCCTATACAAAAAAAAAAACAAAGCTTGTGCTCAAATATAAAATTATGAATATGGGTGCAGAGCAAGAGTTTGTATTTCATTACACATGTGGATCATTCGATGTTATTTGGCGGCCAAACTTTGCAAGGTTGTAAAACAATTTTGCTCAAAATCAATGCCACAAAGTTTCAGATTTTTTTTCTATTTTCAGATTTTACTGTTCATTGCATGGGTGCATCCAACATATGAGTGCAGCCACGACTTTCCCTTTAAGTATATCCCATTTCACTTTTTTGAGATACTTTTCCAGCACGTATTCCTTTAAACACCTCCACACTAAACTATTTCTAGTGGTTGTTATTACTGTATAGTAGAATAACTCGCTAACATGCCATTCTCCAGAAGTAACAAGTATCATGTCAAATAGGGGTCATTCTATCTCTTATAATTTGGTTGAAGTGCAAGTCGTGAAAACATCATCTATTTTCAAATTGAGGAACTGATTTAGCACATCAGTGGTTTCTTTCAAACTAGAGAAAAAAGCACCAATCTGGGAGTGGTGTATGTACCGTTAACACAACAGGACGATTTTTTATTCCTAGAACACCAATCATCAGGCGTAACCATGGATAAATGATTGATGTTGTCAACCATTTGAAGCTTCACGTTTAGGGTACATCCAGTATTTATTTATTCTTAAAAAATAGCGATGCAACGGAATTAATTAACAATAATATTGATAAACTGTTGCTTACGTTAAGACTACTTTTTGACAACCATTCCGTAAAAAACAATGGTACTTTCTGCAACAACTATGACCAATAGAACTATCTAGTTTGCATTACCATTGGCCAACCAATAAGAGGACCTTCTGAATATTGCACATATATAGTACTCATACACTCAGAATATATGATGTCATAGAAAACAGAAATATGAATGTTATGCAAGCAAATCAATCAAATCAGGGTTCTATTTTCTACTCCCTCCGTCCCATAATGTAAGACGTTTTTTGACACTAGTGTAGTGTTGAAAAACGTCTTACATTATGGGACGAGGGAGTATTATCTAATAAATAATTAGAGGAGGATGATATATTATATATACATATAGTACAAAGAAATTCTTTTAATTTTATTACTAGTAAAATTTCCACTATCCACATCAGTCGGAAGTGTTGGTGAATATCTACACATATAATGTACAATATTTACACATATACATGGACCATAGTTCCTAATGCCAAAATTGTTGCCATCAAGGGGAAGTGGACAATCTCATTTCTAAAGAGAGAATGAGATAGTGAGAACTGTCCTATTGTAGGACACTTGGACTATAGGTCCACATTTTTTTTTTGACTCTAAAGGTTGCTTACAGGGAAAGTAGGTGTCATAATGAACTAGGCACACTACCGCGAGACATCTGGATTTTGTTCTCAACCAAGATTAGCAACTACTGAGCTCATCTACTCAAAAAGGTAATCTGAAAATTTATATAACTCATGCATAGATGACATAATCGAATCAAATAAATAACATTCAAGATTATGTTCTTAGTCAAAAAAAACAAAGTGGCGCATATTTGGACCGCCTAATGATATTTTTTAATTTGTTTACATTATGAAATGCACAAAAATCATAGATGGCATAGTCAAATCAATTAAATCGCAATGAGGATTAGACATTTTTTGTCAACCAGAAGACCAACATGGCTCATATTTGCACGCTCTCTGGTAAAATATTTATTTGATTCCATTTTTACCCCCAAAATTCACCAAATTGGTAGGAATTACCCATTTGTGAAAATCCTGAATTTATAAACCCATTTTAGGCATTTGTTCCACATTTTACCCTAATCAAAATTTTCCCCAAATGGTTTCTGACTAGGCATGCCACGTGGGTGGTTTTTTTTTTAATTTCTCGCTAGTTTATTATATGTCCATTTTTTTCTTGACGTGCTTTTGGTTCAGTAGGATCGATCCCACCCATCAATTGGTAGAAAATCATAGAAGTGAAAATTTTGTTAGGGTGGGGTTTGAAACGAAGACATCAAGCATGGGCTGGGATCGTGCAAACCACCTAGGCTATCACATTCCTTGTTGATAGACATGATGCTTGATACTCACATTCCTGGGTAAAATGTGTCACAAATGTCTAAAAAGGGTAATTCCTATCAATTTGATGAATTTTTGTGGTACAAAATGGAATTAACTCTGAAATATTAATTACTTTAGTGTGCATGTGTAGTTATATACCCAAGCCGACTACATCTAAATTGTTAAAAAATTGTAGGTTCTTCTAAGGAAAGTGATTAAACTCTTCACAAGTTCAATTAAGTCACTATGCTCACCTTGGATTCTGCCACAGCTGACATCACATTGGATATTTGTGGACCCTGCAAATTTCTTATGTCTGAATTTATAGGTGATCCAAGTGACATATCCACTTGGGATTCCTCGGCCTTATATGTAATCGTTAAATTCACCTCATCCACCAATTTACCCTCCTCTCTTTCAAATAAATCTTTAGTTATGTCCTCAGTTATAAGATTCTCATTCACTTTGGTGCTCTGGACGATAAAATCACCAGTGTACTTATCTTGTGGTGCCTTGTCTAGTGGTTGCAATGTTATATTCACACTATACTTTGATTGTGGAGCCACAATGTCTTTATCTGGTTGTATACAGTATGGCAGGGGGCTCGTCGTCTGGATGTTGAATGCAATAAAAGCATTTCTTTCATTGGTTAGCTCAAGTGAGCATGATATCTGACTGTTGATCTCGAAAGGAAAGCGTAACTCGAGCGGCTCAATCCCAAGCATGTCATCCTCCGAGTAGGGGCTTATCTGCAAAAACAAAACAATATGCATTGCAACAATGAGAAGTACTTTTCCTGGAATCTCATAAGCTTTGTTTTCATTAAGGTGGTAACTTCTACGATTAAAATAGTAGGCAAGAGGTAATGGTTGTTTTTAAATTTTAATTAAAGCTTTGGATTAACACTGATGGAAATGAAGCACCAGGTCATGGTCATAGGCACACACTCTTGCATGTATACTATCACTTTTTTTTTCATATATGGGTGCTTAGCGGAAAGAATGCATCTACACTATGAGCACATATCTAAGAGTCCTCTCCTACAATGTAGGATCCACTTTCTTGGTTTGTTTCTCGTCTGCATGTACATTTATATGGGACTTCCCTAAGGAGCGTATCACATAGTCTTTACTTCCAGGTACTCTCTTCCAAACAACATAATGATATCTAATGAACAATGTAGGAACGATTGAAGTATTGCTGTTATTGAAGTTATGAGGAGCACATGAGCTTACCTGCCCTATTGTAGATTCGTTCGCATTGCTGATTTTCCTATCTGTGCTTTTCAGTTCATTGATAACACATATTATATCTGATATAAAAGGCCTCTTATAGGGGTCCTCTTCCTGGCAGAGTAGCCCAATCTCGATGAGTTTATTTATCTGTTGGTATCTGAGTGGTGTTTCTTTCCCTGATTTATGCAATCTGTGCCTCCATCTTCTAAGCACCTGCCATTTGACAAAGCTGATATTTAATGCTCGTGATTTGTATAACCATAGGGTAGACAAACCATGCCAACACAGTTCTGAAATCAAGACATCAGTTTTTTAGATCTCTTTTAAACTGTAGCACCATGAAAAATTCAATATGTCATCCAATAAGTAGGTGGGAGGGTAGTAAACGATGTTGCTTTTGTGATCAGGATGAAACAATACATCATCTTTTTCTACAATGCCCAATGGCTAAGTTATTGTGGCGGACCATTCACACACTTTCTTTAACGTATCTCCGACTCTCATGGTTTCACATTTATTTGGGACTTGGTTAACTGGGGTAGAGCCGAAGACTACGACACATATTCGAGTGGGGGTGTGTGCATTACTTTGGGCCATATGGAACGGTCAGAATGATGTTGCTTTTAACAGAGAAATCATTATCAATTTCTTGTAGAGGTTATCTTCAGAGTGTCTACTTGGATCTGTTTGTGGTCGTTAGTCGTTACTCGATGGATATTGGGTGAAACCGCTGGGTTACGGTCGCATGGAATAGTTACAACCGATTTAGATGGCGGTCCAACAATAGGATATGTGTCTACTCATCTTACCCTATTTTCGCCGGTTGTGGCAACGTTTTCGTTTAGTTTTGCCAGTTTGTCTGAGATATTATTACGAACCTGTACCTTTTTAATAATACGACTGTGTGGATCAAGAGATGCAAAGTCCGGGGGTATTCCTCCTTTTCGAAAAAAGAAATCCAATGCTTGCAATGCAAATTAAGTAGAAGTGCATTATGTTGAAATACAATCGTATAAGGATATATTTTACACATTAGAGATGTAATTGCTATTCCGCTTACAACACTTATGGGGTGCTCAATCACTATTTAGCTTATTTCCCCTTTGATTAAATTAACGGATTTTAAAGTCACTTGAAAGAGTATATTCGGTTGTTAACCAGGTTAGTCGACATTCTGTAATTAGGCACATATTAGACCTGTCACAAGATGAATAAAGTTACAAGGTTTTGGACTGGGGGTACCTCGTCTAGACTCTAGGAATACCCACTTTACATGAAACACGAGGGAGAAAAACAAGTGCACAAAACTGGTGCTTATTGTCTCGCATGCGGAATTTTGTGGATAGTCATCAAGCTAAATATCCATCAACATGCGACTATATTACCCTTCTTAACCAAAAGAGTATGTTTTTAACTTTGCATCGAGCCATAGTACAAAACCTTGTAACTGTATGCGACAGAAATATTTTGGCTATATCTGTAAAAGGAGGCCACCTACAATATAAAAAACACTTACATTATTACTGTCGGGAATACTCCTATGTCCTGTCACCAGTTCGATTATTATGATTCCCAAGCTATACACGTCATACTTGACTGACATTTTGCCTTTGTCTATGTATTCTGGAGCGGTGTATCCTCTGCATGAGAATACATTAATTACAGAACATGAAAAATGAACTGTAACGAAGGTAAAAAAAAGGTTTGTTGTTTTGGTAAATGCTTACGGTGATGAAACCCGGGTTGTACTTTTGGTTTGTGCATTTTCCTCCATTCTTGATAAACCAAAATCAGTTATTTTGGCTACCATATTATAATCTATTAGTATGTTCGCTGGCTTCAGATCCCTATGAATAATTTGCTTTTCCATATGAAGATACTGCAGACCATCGCATATTCCCTTTATTATTAAAAAGCGAGTGTCCCATTGAAGCCCTCTTAATTCATCTGCAGAAGAAGAAGGAACAAGAGCATGAGGTCTTTGAACATTTAGTTGTGCACTGTTAGACATAAAAAATGATTTAATTGTTAGCCAGTCCCTTATAATTTGTGGCCCTGCTATTGAAGAGTAGATGTTTAAAAGAGAGAGAAAAGTTTGACATCCAGAGTGTACCTGTAATATATTTTTCAAGACTTCCGTTGTTGATGTACTCAAAACAGAGTATTCTTTCTCTATCCTCTGCATAAATGTAATCTCTTGATCCTTCATTTTCGAATACTTTATGTTCTGTGTGAGAACAGAAGCCAAGAAACCGAACTATATTCTTATGGCTGACATGCAATAAGCTGTTAACCTCCCGACGAAATACATTCTCATCAATTGTATGGTTGCTCTTTATCCTCTTGACAGCAACTTCTCCATTTCGAAGGACACCCTGTTTAAACTTGTTGGATCACATTAGATATTATCTGAACACACAATGGAACAGTATGTGATGTAATTTGGCATGCATACAACTCAACTTTGGCAACATACCACCCCAAAGTATTTTGCTTGGCGGCATAGCACAGACACATAGCGGTAATTCGATAAAATTCTGCATTTATGTACTAAACAAAAATGAACATTTTTTTTGAGTAGTAGTAGTTTATTTTGCACTTATATCGAAACAAATGAAAAGTTTGATCAAGCATGTGAGACATTTAGGCTGTCTAAACAAAAAGGTCTCTGAAAAGTGAAGTTTACCTTGTATAAGGTTCCAAATCCGCCCGTACCAACTATTCGCTCTTGTGAGAAATTTCCGGTGATGCTCTGTAGAGCTGATAACTTTAGATCTGTTGGTTTGATGGTTCCCTCAAATATACGCTCCAACTCCAATACGCCATGTTCCGTGATTCCCACGTCCATCCTAAGTGGAGTACACGGGGCGCTTAATTCGACGTACTTACATAGTAAATCTAATACAATTCATGAACCATGAGAGACTAAGCTGCATCCAAACAACGAGTTGTGAACTTGTTTATGGAGATGTCCAAAGACTTGTTCAAACAACCTTGCATATTAATCTTAATGAAGATGCTGAGATGTGGGCAAAAAATTGATAAGAGTAAATTAGTCCAATCTGAACCTTAAACTCATAGTAGCTAGCGAACTAATCTTTCCCCAAGGTCTCTCTCTCAGACTCCCGAACGGATCCTATCCATTCAGGTTGACTTGGGTGTCGTTGTTGCTACTTATTTGTACAGGCTAAATCCGCGGTTTGCAGTTTAGATCTCAACTTAGTTGGGCAAACCAAACAAAACCAAACCAACAAATTTTTGCAGAGAGAAGTGGATCTTGGAGAAGTAGTACCCAAGTACAACAGGAGCTAACAAAACAAAAACCAAAAAGACTCAGGATGGTCGACTTGTAAGTACCTGGTAGCAGTGCACCAGGCTGCAGGATGAAGAAGATATGGACTGTATGTATTCTGAAATGAGCAATGAAACGCCTGTGGTGTATGTACATACACCACGGCTGCTATAACAAAAACGGCTGTTTACCTGCCCTCTGAGTTTCCCTTGTTTCTTTATTATATATAACCTTTGGAAGACCCCCTGGACACAGCTCCCATGAATTTTTTTCCTGCATGGACTGCACCCCGATCGGGATGAAACTAATTTTTTCCATCTGACCCCCTGGCAAAAATATCTCAGGATTTGGCCCCTGTGTTCGGCGCCAATGGCAACGCACGACCTGCACAACTTGGGCGCCATTTTCAGTGGCGCCGATAATAATCACTACAACATCCTAGACATCAATCGGCATTCAAAAATGCCTTGGAAAGCTCTCTAAATGATTCGAACTTGCCTGCTGAATATTTGGTTCGCCGTGACTAGAATGTTATATAGGTATATCAAGAAGTGGAAGGTTGCCTGCTGAATATTCCATCCTCCTGCCCTGACTAAGAAAAACGTAACTGACATTTCAAGGCGTTTTCCGCCCGGAATGCCTCCAAAATAGCCTTCTGTTTATAACGCGTTTTCTTATAACGCCTCTAATCAAGCCAATCCAAGGCATTGTTTTAAACGCCTTCGGTTTTTTGTCTTATATAAAATAAAAAATAAGACCAACTTGTAATCTCAACCATTTCAATATAGCTGGCATGAAGTCGTCGTTTTATGGCACTAGCTGCTGATTAATTATATCTGAATCTGATGATAGCTTAACCAAGCGTGTTGGCGACGCTATGTTAAACTACCACACTACCTACCGATCAATATCGAGGACCCGCATGTGACAGTGACGGTGCATACTTAGCTCATGTTTTTATTTCTTTGATGCAGGACTCCCCAAGTGTTGTTAAACTCCTAAATTTGGTTGAATTATTCAGGCCTGCCCACTTGTTCTTGAAATATTCTAGAAAAATGATGATAAATCGTATGTGCGGCTGCAACCTAGCGGTTTCTTTTTCTTTCACCTAGAAAGGCGACTTTATTCCCTCTATCTGCCGCCGGCGAGGCCAGTGGTTCCTTCCCTCTTCTTCCACCGCTCTGGCAACGGGAGAGGGCGGGAACCCCTATCATGTGCTTCTGGTATGGAGATAGTAGGGTAGTGGTTCCCGGAGTTGTCGTCATGGTGGGGGTGGCGGTGGCGGTGTGGACTAAAGTTGTTGGTGGTTCTCTGTCATCACAGTGAGGCATTTGGCAGAGTTGGCGAACTGTCGGCTTTAGGTGCTCTTGGATCCTTCGATATGGTGAGCTTTGGTGCTCCGATCAAAGCGCTGGATCGGCAGGCGCATGTTTGTCGTCTCTGGATCTTTCCAAGTTCTAATCCTCAACGGTGGTGGCGACGTCTCTTCCCGTTCGCATGATGTGCCATTCGATTCAAGGTCAGGCCAACTACGAGGAAGCGGCGACAGTGCACATGCGTCTCGCATTGATAGATGAGGTTGTTGGGTGCCCTTTGGACCCGGTTGTAATTTCTGGTTTCTTTGGGATGATTTGTACTACTGCTAGTCTTTGTTATCAGATCTGGTGGCCCTTCGCAAAAAAAACATATGTTGAGCCGATATCACCCGCGGCTCAAAGATTGATATATTGCTTTCGTCAACTCAAGTAGAAGAGTGCTTCTTTGAGCAGTGGATGCTCATCAAGGAGGGTCGCCGGATCTGCACTACGCAAGGGCCGCCGCGACCGGGGGCCGCTGGATCTGCGCTGCGCGGCATTGGGGCGGTCAACGTTGGCAGCGCTGGGCATCTCCTTTGCGTAGGTGGCGGCGTGGTATCTCTCAACGGATCCGGACGAGTTGGTGGTGCTCGGGTCGGATCCAGGCGCGTGGGGGTGCTTGGGGCTCACCGGCCAAAATGCGATAGGCGATGTCCAGGGGTTGGAGCTCCGGTGAACTCTAGCGGCTGCAGGGGCGAGGCTTACCGGGTGGCTGGACAAAGTCCAAGGACACGGGCGGCCTTGGCGGCCTGGTGAAGGAATGTTGGGGTGAAAATTAACTCAACTCAAAATTTCCTTTTGAGAGGAATTTCAGTTTTGGGTAGATCTGAGGCATCAGTTCGGTTTTTGGGTTCCACAGGACGTGTATGACCTCAGATGTAGACGTCCCCAAATGAACATTTAACTGTTTTGACGGAACCAGCAACTTTCATGTTGAACATTTTTCAATTTAGGACCTTCTTGAGGGTTAAATCGCTCACGCAATATAGGCGATAACTCATGCTACCCATAAGACATCGGTCATATGGGTGTCTAGTCCCGGCTGAAACTTTTCATTAGTGGTCAAGACACATTGTATTGGCTTTAACCTTTGCATACGATTTTGGACTGAGATGATTCAAATATCAAAACTGATTGCCTCGACAAGACCAAAATATTCACATCGGAGGTCGTCTTGTGAATGTAATCAGTCGAACATAACTCAATGTACAGTCCCGACCCCCGAGATGAGATCGGATGGCGATGACCTGAAAATCAAAGTTGTTCATTTCAATGATACGGAGATTTTAGAAGCCATCTTAATAATGTGTTTTTACCGAAAAAGGGTTTCCCCCCGCTTTGGTATTGCAAAGCAACCAACACCGATTACATAGATCGCTGGAGCGAGTAGCACAACCAGCCCAAAAGAAAAAGAAGAAGAAACAAATGCCAACAACGGCAGCTCAACAAAGCGCGGATGACCCACTACCGCTGCGCCCACCGAAGACAAACCACCGTAGCCCGAGGCTTCGATCCGCCGCGTACCAAGCAGCATCCCCAAGAAGGAATGCGATGCCGACGACGCTGCTGCCCGGACGGGTCCTAGGGTTTCCCCCGGCATGCGGAGGGAGCTGGAGGATGGATAACAACGACGCCCTCCAGGAAGGAATGGTGGCACCCGCAGGCGTCACCGCATCAGAGCCGAAGACCGGCAAGGATTTCTCCCATACTCCAAACCCCGCCGCCCGACCGAACCGGAGCCGACCAGCCAAACCTCCGCCCACCACCTTGCGCCATCTCGGTTGCACCACCACCCACGCGCCTCACTGCGAACACCACCACGAGGCCAAGAGACCCGAAGAGAAACGCCAAACCACGGAGACAGCGGCACCGCTACCGAGCAGGAGGGACCCACCTCCCCCGCAAACGTGCGGGAGTCCCGAGCCCCCAGCACCGTCGCGGTCGCCGTCCGAACGCGGCAGCAGGGCACACCAGGCCACCCCTAGCCCGGTCGGGCCCAGACAGGCCCGCAAAGCCCCGCCGGCCACACTGCAGCAATTCGGTGTCCGCGTCGCCAGCCCGCAGCCGCTCGCCGCCACACCCCGGCCTCCTGGAGGTCGCGCCGCAGGCTCACCCCTCCGCCGGCCCGCCCGGGCCCAGATGGGGCCCGAAGGGCCCAGATCTGGGCCGAGCTGGCACCGCCAGGACGCGCCGCCGCGCTACCCCGCCGCCAACGGCGACGCCGCCGTCTAGCCATCCGCCCGCATAGCGCCAAGACCCCGCCGCCGCCTAGGGACACCCCCCAGCCCGCTCCATCCCGCGCCAGAGGAAGCCGAGGGGGAAAGCGAGGGGGCCGCCGCCGCCAGCGTCGCCCGGGCCAGGCCCGGCGGCGAGCGCCGCCGACGGCGGCGGGGAGGGAAGGAGGAGGGAGGGGCGCTGGAGAAGGAGAACGGGGCGCGGCCGGTTGCCCGCGGGGGCGACGCGGTCGCGAGAGCCCGAGAGGGAGTCTAAGTTCTAATAATGTGTTTTTTCGCGGAAGGTCAACAACACAAAAACTACAATTTCGTCCATGGCCTCTCAGTTTTGTCTTGTATCAGTCATTCAGTTGCATATCTTAAACAGTGAAGCTGATTACAGTTTACAAACCAGTATAACAGTAAATTGCAGTTCGTGTTGGTGCTTTCGCTGCAGGTCATCTACTAACAATGTTACAAAGGCATTTCGTATGCGACCAAGCTAGAATGACACAGATAGAAGTTCCATCTTAGGTAGAAAATTAAGGATTTTAATTTTGCAGGATCAAATGTCATAAGCTGACAAAGGTACATGCTTGGTATCAGTTGTTTGGATCAAACGTCAGCCAGTCCAGTCGATACTTCAGTTTGAACGTGAGATGAGCGATGCAGAAACATCATTATTGCTTACTGTGTTTTCGAGGCACCGGACTTTCTATGCTGCTAGAGAATATCCATCATTGTCCTCCTCTAGTAGCAGAACTAGTTGTGGAAAAGTATAGGATGGATGAATATTGTTGTTGTATTGACCTGACCCTTGTGTAGGGTATATATAGGAGTACAAGAGGGGTAGAGACTTGGAGTACAAGACAAGTTACATGTGGTTTAAACTAATTCTATCTCTATCTCTTTATCTCTAACTTAAACCCAATTATATTTCTAACATTCCCCCTCAGTCGCAGCGGGAGTGAAGCGGACGAGTACGACT